TCCCTTAACACGTTGACGACCGCGCTCGTTTTCGCTGTCTAGCGCGCGCGCATTATTTTGACCGCGCGATGTCCTCATGGGACCGTGTGACATGACATCATGTCACACGGTCCCATGAGAACACCTTTTTTTGATGAACTGTTTATTTGTTATCTTTCTTGTGTGGTAAGTCTCGGAGATTGCGATTCTGACCATTTCAGCGATTCCTGCGATTTGAGAGCGCGTAGAAAGGGCCAAAGCTAACGTGCGATTGAGAGGGTACCCTCCTAGATCACTTACTGGTCCCTGTATCTTGAGCTTATAGAATGATCGTTGGATTGCAATCGGACCTACATGTCGAAAACCACTCACAGACTCGAGGATTTGCGGGAAAGGAGGAACGGAGGCAAAGGAAAACGTTCCAGACAACGCAGAAGCGGCTACAACTATGCAGGATCAAAGGACGCGCATATTTCGTCTTCTACCAAAAGTGTCCTTACCCATTGCAGCAAATTATCATTGCAAACATTTTTTGTTCCGATTAGTTTAGCTTAAGCCCAAAAACTGCGGCTACTGATCATTATTCAAACATTTTTTGAAAAACTCGATAGCCCATTAACCGAAGCTTCTTTCCAGGGACCACGCCTTTTGTAACAATGCCTAAGTATGGCGCATACATCACGTAAATAAGTTACCTAAAATGTTTGAAAACCAGCTTAAAAAAGACTGTGACATGACATCATGTCACACGGTCCCACGTGGCCGAAAGAGTGTGGTATGACATCATACCACACGGTCGTCAACGTGTTAACGATTAGCGCTCTAACCCACATTTTGGTAACGGGCGTGGCACGCTCTCCGTAGGTACGGGCACTACAATTTCTCTCACAATATCCTTCCTGAGGCTAATCCTGGGGCTTCCTTTGAAGAAGGATTCTACAAGAAGAACAATGTCGAAGAATGGGAAACTTAGTGGAGAGGCATGACCCTCTGCCCAAATCTCTTAGTTTTGGTAAATACCTTTCTACAACCAAAACGGGATTTTTGGAGGAACATATGACTTTAAAATCTCGAAAAATAGAACTGCTGGAAAACCTAGGAAGATGTGCGGACGTATTTTTAAGCAAAACGATTTTTTTCAACAAGTAAACTTTCAGAAGCGATTAAAATCTTATTAAAAAGATCTGATTCTGTACTTTCTTGCTGTACCAAAAGTTTGCCGTAAAAACGAAAAAAAGAAAGTTATGGTCAGTAGAACCCCAAAAACTCATGTAAAAACATGACCGCATCCCCTCACAAAAAATGTGCGAACGAGTGATTCTTTCAGAAACTGAAAGTCGTACAGTTTCTTGTAATGCCAGAAGTTTGCCAGAGAAATGAAAAAGAAGAAAGTTATAGTAATTAGAAGACATTCACATGAAGAATTTACGAACAGGAGTATATTTCGAAAGAGTGAACGATTGCCAAACTTTTGCTACTCCTCAAATAGAAAAATATCTGGAGTTGCTGAATATTTCTACTGCTATTCGAAAAGTCACATTTGAAAAACGTAACGGCGTTTCAAAATGGAAGTGCGCGTTCGTGAAAATTTTGGTTTTCTCTTCATGGGGAAATGCGCGTTCGTGAAATTTTGGTTTTCTCTTCATGGCATAAGCATTTGTCACATGCAAAGTAATCTTATAGGCGAAAGTGGGTAGTGGCAAATGGCACGCTTACCACACGCGCGGTCCGGGGATCAATTCCTGGGTTGTGCTCCGTGGCGAGCCAACCAAGCCTTCCATCCCTTCGGTGTCGGTTAAAAGGTGCCAGACTTGTCTGGGAGAATAGAAACACTGGCTTGTGCATAGGCTGGCCCCCGCAGGTCATTGTATAGGCCGCATAGTACTCTAACGCCACTACGAATGTACCCATGGCAGTAAAATGGTACCGAATGCAAAGAAGATTGCTATATGCTTTATCCTTGATCATTTTTCCAAAGTCATATTAGGTCCAAGTTCCTGAAAGCGAAACGGCAAGGCATATTATAAATCTGCGATAATGAGAGATTTAAGGAAAGTTTGCCTCTCTGAAGTATATTTTATATAGCGCGCCCTGAACTCTCACTGCCGCGCACTCTAGAGCTGACCGCTACCAACGAGTCCTTAACACATTGACGACAACGCGGGGGATATATATCCCGCGCATTGCAGGCCATGTCGGACCGTGCGGGATATATATCCCCCGCACCCATTACACTCATTTTTTTCGCGCACGCCTGATTCTTTTAGAAGTTTCTTGTATTCATTCCATGGAAGAGACCTTGCGTAGCTACAAACATAGTGGCCCTTAGAATGGTCACGTATACTTTAATTTAGAGGAGATTTCTGAACCATACGAAATCTTCATTTCAATAAATTTTTTCGTTTACTTTCTCTTTTTATTAAATGAAGATTTAAAAAGTAGTAGAAGTAGAATAAGGAACTTTAGGGATGACAACATGTGTGTTTTGATTGGAATAATCAACGTAAAATTACTTTTAAGGTCCATTGCAGCTAGTTCTGAAAAATTTCGCTTTTTCATTGTTATTCCATGTCTTTGATCAAAATTCCACTACTGTACCCCTGGGTAGGTTGCGCTCATTACAATTTACTGATTTGGTTTTGAATTGGTCATTAGTTGTGTATTTATCACTCAAAATCTGCTTGAACGACCTGAGGCGAGCGCGCCCGCAAAATCGCCGCGGTCCCACGTGGCCAAAAAAGCCAAAACTCGCATTGTCGTCAATGTGTTAAGACCTCACCAGAGTCAACCCTGCGTTGCGCAGTTCGCAACGGCACGTTGAGAGATCCTCAACGCACGCTGTATGGGCGGAGACACAGACGGCTCGAGCATGCGAGTGTGAATGTTCGCGCGAGAGAACGTGTCTAATCGGGCGAAACTGCGCAACGTGGCCGTTGAGAACTGCGCAGCGCAGGATTGACTCTGCTTCAAGCTTCACAGTATGCTGTTCATGTGCTTGTTTACTAACGAAACAAAGTGGGCGTACTGGTACCCCTAAAACCCTAGAAATTTGGGGCGTGGTCGCTACAATTATGATAAAGTGCGAACGGGACCGCTGACCCTGGTCCAGCCTGGCAACGACGTTAAATGACGTCATCAAAACGCACCATCATCCAGCCATAGTATTCATTGCCTTGAATGTGTTATGAACGATTTCATTTCAGTAAAGTAGCACCGGAAGAAGTGATGCTCCATAATAAGTGTCGCTCATTCCAACTATATCCCGGTCACCCTCAGACGAAGTCGCGGTCATCTTCCATAAAAGGTCCATGGTGCTATATTCGGGTAACAAAGGTAACAAAATCTGAATAAAGACAAGCAAAGCAAAGTTCTGGAAAGATCACATATTCCCTGAATTGATCAGATGATTTCAATGTTCAGAAGGAATTCGGGTCCAAAGAATGCTTTAAACCCTGTAAAGGACAACCACGTGAAGAGAGAACTGATGCCGGTTAGTTACGCTAAATATATAAAGGTTGGAACTGTTTATACTGCGCGTACCGTAATTTAAGCTCATTCTTGAATTTTGCATTTCCACAAAAAGAAGAATAGAGGGTAAATAGCTAAAAAAAATAGCTAATGAATAGCTAATAACAAATGGAATGTTTAGGAATCCAGAACAACATGCTTTTCATGAACATACCCTCTCGGTAGACCATCGAGTCGATTTCAATATTTTCTGAAGACGAATCCGGTAGAACCCCGTTTCTGACTGTCGAAAAGGCATTGGTGGCACAAACCATAACTTTTCTGGGGAAGAGATGTTACGGTATTCCGAGGAATCGCTCTATTTTCGGCACACAACTACTTTTGACCTCGACGGTCGCGAATAATTTCAAATTGGCAATTTACTCATCACCAAATATTAAAAGAATGCAGCTCGCCTCAAACCCGCATAGGAACTTTTTGTATTTTTTAGTTGATTTTTTGCGGATTGCTCCAATAAAAACCCGAGCAGGTGGGTACGGACTCTCACGGTTCTTTCAGGACAAGCCGCGCAGGGGCGTATGTAGGAAACAAAAGAACATGTTTCATTTTCGCTGAAAAAGTAGCAGTACTAAAAAAGAAGCATAAGGTACTGTTAAGGTTCGATCCCCCGTGGCGACTAAATTTTGCATTTGGGTTGGCGCCTACGGTTTGGTGCCAAATCGCGCTAAATATCAAAATCAGATGTCATATTCATCGTCAGGACCATTTTGAAGCCAACAAGTGGCCGCCAACCTTGATTGCAAAATTTAGTCGCCGCGGGGGATCGAACCATCAAGGGTATCATTCACCACTTTTTTGGTACTACTAAAACCGTTCAGCGAAAACGAAACATGGTTTTGTGGTCCATACATGCGTCCCTACAATATGCAGAAACCGTTTCCAAAAAGCGCGGCTTGCCCTGAAAGACCCCTCCTTGTCAGATTTGGCTCGCTTCCCAACATCTTCTAGTCGAATTGACGGCAGATGCGCTGAGATCAGAAACCATACGACTCTCGGTGGCTCCATCGTTGCGAGTAATCCCCGTCTAGGTGGTTGCTCTGGACTTTCGAGTGTGCGCGGTTCTCGACCTCCCACCTATTGCTACCGGAGGAGTGTACTTGAGCCTTGAGAGCACAAAAAGAACTTTCGAACAGTGAAAAGGCAATCCCTAGTCGCTCTGAGAACTTCTCAAATGGCTTCCCAATTTTCGGAACTTTTCGAGGCTTAACAAAAATACTCCATAGCTGAATTTCAGCATGCGCTCAAAGCCGCGTCCTATACACTTTAGCCACGCTGCACACCATGTTAAAGTGAGGGATTGCGTGGGATTGGGTTGGTTGACAGTACTAGAAGTGGGGGTACTAAATAACTGTGTCAGTGGCATAACAAGGCCTAGAAAGTCCGTCAATAACACGCAAAATTTAGCCTTTTTGTCTACCCTTTGACCTCCGACAATAGCCATCAGCAGCCCCACAGCCACCATCATGCCAGCAAACTCCATGCTTTGACTGAGAATGCATTATACCGAGTTATCAGAGGATAATCGATAAATTTATTAGTAATTGATCAAAGTGAAACAAACGCAACACTAGCTACCAGCAACACACTGGTGGGCGGGGTGTAGAATATTTTTAGAACCTTGACACGCTTCAACTAGAACAGCTTTGGCCTCGGAAGGGCCGCGTCTCGCTTCCTTGGCCCCTGACTACTGCTTTCGATGATCCACTTCCATGATGCATAGACATTTGAAGGTGCGTTTCCTCACTTTGAGGTAGGTTGTAAACGGCGTTCAGGTTGTATTTTATACCAATCGATGGCTCATCTGCCAAAGAAACGATAGGTATGAATTTGATTCCGGGCTGAAGCAAAGGGTTTCGCCCACTACTGAGAGTGCGCGTAGTAATTCTAGCTTCTCTATGGACATTTACTACAACGTGACGCCTATGGATGGAATGGCGCCCCTTTTTGGAATCACTCCAGAGAAAAGATGCTGGATACCAAAACCACGGGAAAATCACGGGAACGGGTCACACCTTGTTTTTAATAGCCGTTTTTTTTAACAGAATAAGGTTCACCGTTGCAGGAAAGTCGCAGTATGGTGAGAGGCAGGTGCAGATGAACTACAACGACATGTTGATCGAAAACATTCAAAAATTCTACAAGTCTTACACATGGGGAGACACCAGTTATTATCGCTGGGTAGGGTAACGAGGATTTGGAAAATTTATAGATTCTGAAAATTGATCAATGAATTCTGGAGTCATGTAGGAAAAATACTGAGAATAGTGGCTTGGCTTCAAATGGAGTTGATGGGCATTCTAGCTCCAAACCGATTGATATGCCTACGCTAGAGAGGTTTTCCATTACTGAGACCGAGTTCAACCGTCAGTTGAGATAAGTTCAAGGGTGGCTTTTATTAAGTGCACATGTACTTTGGGGAGCAAAATTTCTGAATATTGAAAAAAGCAATGGGAAAAGAATCGAAAATTCCACAGATTTGGATTGCGATGCATTATATTATATGCTATATGCTTATGAATATGCTATGCTGCTAATGAATATGCTTATATGGTCCCTCCCATCTCGCCTCGCCTAGAAAAAATATCTTACTTGTCCTCTCTCTGGTGTGATTAGCGGTCTTCTTGAGAGAAGGAAATCTAGAGGGGCTCCATCGCGCGCCGCCCCCCCCCCCCCCCCCCCCCCCCCCCCCCCCCCCCCCCCCCCCCCCCCCCCCCCCCCCCCAAAAAAAAAAAAAAAAAAAAAAAAAAAAAAAAAAAAAAAAAAAAAAAAAAAAAAAAAAAAAAAAAAAAAAAAAAAAAAAAAAAAAAAAAAAAAAAAAAAAAAAAAAAAAAAAAAAAAAAAAAAAAAAAAAAAAAAAAAAAAAAAAAAAAAAAAAAAAAAAAAAAAAAAAAAAAATTTTTTTTTGGTGGGGGGGGAGGTCTGCGCGCGCGGCCGTGTGGTCCCCCGCCCCGCCCCCCCCCCCCCCCCCCCCCCCCCCCCCCCCCCCCCCCGCCCCCCCCCCCCCCCCCCCCCCCCCCCCCCCCCCCCCCCCGCCCCCCCCCCCCCCCCCGCCCCCCCCCCCCCCCCCCCCCCCCCCACCCCCCCCACCCGAACACCTGGTTGTCTACAGTCCAGTCCTAACCATGGAAGGGAGTTTGTGAACAGGACTGCCAAAAATAGCGAAGTACAATTTCGGTAATATTTTGCAATTTTTTGTGGCCCAAAATTCTAAATGTCTGGAGTCTCCCTGAGAAATTCCAATCGCTACGAGCACACACGTTCGAGCGAAAATATCAACTCTTGATGCATAGCTTATTAATCATGGAATTCCGAAAGCTTACGGACTTCGTTTTCTAGAAACCATCTGACGACTCCTTCTCAGCAGAGTACTACCGAATGCGAGAACAGGTGAGTCCAGGAAGCCAGTTATGCAGTGTTTTTCCTCATTGTATTAGAATTGCTCTAGAAGGCACAGGTGGAGATGTATTCGGTGTGTCATTTTGCTCGAAAGAAGCTCGGAAGGGGAATGTAGAAGAGCACATTTTTCGGATCTGCAGTGAATTTTTTGCCGATGATGTTTTCCATTGCAGATCTTTTACGGATGTACGATTACTGTGATCGTTCTCATCCTTTGGCTACTTATGTGTTCCTACTTGCGCAAAGAAGCGGCCGCTGCTCGAAGACGACGAGAGCAAGCGATCAAGGTGAATACTCCTTGTCCAAATACTCCTTGATAAAATTGCTTCTGCTAGAAAGCGAAGGTCGATTAGCGGGACGTAGCGCGAAAATGCGGGCTTAGAAATCTCCGCCCAACTTGCAGTTGGAAGCTCCACTTGTCGAGGTTCAGAAAAATAACTAAAACTAAAAAAATATAATACTAAAACCAAAACTAACAACCAGAAATGTTACCCTGCACTGAGGAGAGGAAGAGATTTTGAGAAGAAAGAGCAATGAGGATGAATGCAGGCGATAACCAAAGTTGCTGAATTCGGTGCGTGCGGTCGGGGTGTTTTTTGTTGGCGATGCAGCTTCTAGCGATCTTGCTGCCATTTTTGAACACGCCTCGGCCTGCGGACTCCCTCTAGAACCCTACCTTCCCTACTGCAGGGTTATTTTATCCCTTATTTTCTCTTTATTCTATTCTTAATTTTTATATATTTATGTTATCGTTAGTGAACAAGACCACATGAGTGTGCATTTGTATGCTTCTGTAATAGTTTGTTCTGGAAAAAATGCACGTCCAGGGGATGGAGGGGGGAAGGGGTAAGAGAGGACATGGCTTTCTATCGTCCAATGGTCATATTTCACAAAGACATCTTGAGGAATATAACAACATTTATTATTTGTTATATATTCTTTTTTTAGTCGAGTCATTTGTCAATGAAGGGCAAAAATGATGTCCTTCAGTTGTCAAAGTTCCATTTATAAAGTTTTCAAGTGATTTCCGAAATCGAAAATGCGCAAATGCATCCGATTGTTCGACCTCATGTTTCCTGAGATCACCTGCACTTTCCTATCTATTGTTTTGTTTATATTTGAATAAAATGTTTTCACAACAATCGATGAGGGCAACATGCGCGCAAGATAGATACTGAGTCATGTCCCTCTTAGCGTGTTTGGTCTGAATGCGCTACGGTATTGTGCTGGGTGAGAAGGGCGTGAATGTGAGTCAGGTAGTGCAAACAGCCCGAAGACTACTCCACGAGTGGATGAGTACGCCATCGTGCTGATCGTCCGATGTCAATGGTTCAACTCACTGGTTTCAGATTGATTCGTTTTTTTTTCAGTCACGTCACAAATTTGTGGGGGAGACCGATTGCTTTGACCTTTTCCAGCTTTCAAATGTTTTATGCATAATTTGTCTACCAATGGGGTTTATTTGATGGATGCAAAACGAGTTCTGTTGATTACTCAGCACAAATCGGAGGCTTACCTCTTTTCAGCGACGCTATATTATTACCGGATTAAACTCTTCCCGACCGACCATCGATTACGATGTGGCTCATCACATTCGCTGGTAAGCCACTAGTACTTTATTTTTAGACAAATTGCATCTGAATTCAAAATTTTGAGCACTTCTTAAATATTCAAATGTGAGGTCCGCTTTCGCAATATAGGTGGGAAGAGGGGGTTTGGAGAGGGGTGGGGGCGCTGCCAGCTACAAAGTACTTAAAGCCGCGCCAAAGATATGTTTCGAGTCTCAGTTTCGGGCTAAGGTTAGGGATAGCATAGCCTGTGAGCTCCTCCTGTCCTAATGGTGCTCAGCACTCTCAGCTTATTCTTAGAGGAAGCTCCCATCTTGCAGTAGCGCCATTAACATCTCGTCTTCTCTTTCTCTTCTCGTCTAAGGTCTGTTTTTGTAAAGAAATGAATCGGAACCTCTCGGTGTTCCCAGAAAATGCTTTCCAAGAGAAGAAGCTTCGCAACACTCACTTGTGAACATGGTTAGATGATGCGAATATGTAAGTCACTTTAACACTGATAGTCGTCTTGCTAGTTGTTTTCAAAAATGCCTGACTGATAGTGGATAGCGAGTGCATGTAACGGCCATCACGATTTCTCGTGATGTTTAGCAACGGTTCAATTCGACAGCTTTTTTCGGAGCGTCTTCTTTCAGTGTTGTTGATGTTTTTTCTTCTTTTTGAGGGTTTTCTCCACTGGAAAGCACTGGAATAAGCTGCTGCTTTGGCGCTGGGGAAGAGCGTTCCTAAGACTGTGACCAAACTGCTATGTAAATCAGTAGCTACTCTCCCTGGCTGAAATCGTGAAGCATGCATGCGAAAACTATTTCCAGTAACTTCTGCTTGAGGTTTGACAGATTTAGTGTTCCCAAAATTAGTATGTTGTGTATCAAACGCTTGATTATTCAAAGGTCAGTTCGGATTTAGGTCAGTACTGTCGTCATTTTAGCCCATTGCGTACCACGTAGTGCGCCATGTGTGTCACATGCAAGCACACGTAAAAGAATTTTTCTGCCCCCCCTTGATTTATTTAGCACAGGCAGCAATGAACATATGGCCCTAATATATTAATTTTATTATGGGTTTAAGTTTTCAATTTGGATTTTCTGCATTTTTGTCCTTTTCTGATCATTTCCACTACAGCAGCGGTGCTATTCCACAGCCAATGATGCTCAAATACCACCTCCTGTTGGGCCACAAAAATATTCCAACGAGGGATACTGTACGACGCCACAGGTAATTGGCATTGTTTTTCACTCACGCTTTTAATTATGTGCTCCGCATAAAATTTTTTTGGTATGTACGTATCGACTTCAGACTGTGCACGACTGCTATGTGACATACCTCGAGAAATACGGTATACACTCCGGGCAGTATTATCTTCCCGGTTTTGATCGCCTTGATCTGCAATTGAAGAACATGCCGCTCACCAATATATGCCGGTAACAATATTGACCATGTCCATTTGTTGGGGAGCTTAAACGTATCCTCCTCTGCGAGACATTTACAAGGATTGAATATCTTTTGATTGTTGTTCCTGCAAAATGCTCAGCGAGATAATTTTTCTTAAATTTTTTGGCCTGCTGCTGTAACCGCTACTGCAAATTGTCCGGCAAAAAGAGGTGCGGATTCGAAGAACGTCTGGGCCGGAGTTTTGCAAATAGCTCAGCATTTTCGTGAGAAGTTTCTACATCATTTTGAAAACTTTGCTTCGATCCCTTCCAGTGCTGGAATGCCTTAGTTCTGAACAAGTAAAGTATTGCTTTAAAAAAGTTCCGGATGGACATAAATCTTCTTTGAGAAAAATTAAGAGATGATTAATCTTTTCTGCGAAACGCCCTTGATTCCTACTTGTACTTTCATATGACTGAGCGGGTAGGGTAGTAAAACCGTGAATAATCTGTTGTCCTCTGAACTATATTCGGACTTCGCAGTTCCAATCAATCCAGCAGTCATTCACAACACTCCGATTTATTGCATAAAACAACTACGCACTCGAATGTCGCAAGTTTCTATGAAAAAGTGACTGTTTCCCGCTTTTTTTAATTTTTTAGTTTTTCTCATTTTCAAATTTCGCATTTCTTTTTGTACTAAATCGGTGTGTGCATGGTCGAGTTGGCCAGCAGAGACTGCGCATGCACGATCAAACGTTCAGCGGATGCGTGAGTGATCGCGGGTCCACCCTCCCCACTCCCAAACAAGCTACTGCTGCTCATTCAATGCTGATCTCCCACTTCCAACCCT